TTTGTAACGTTAATTAAAATTTTTTTAAAAAAAACTTTGCCAAAACCATTCGCAGGGTTAACCGCCACCAAGATTATTATTCTTTTTTTTTGTTTTTTTTTTTTAAAATCCAATTAAATTAACGCAAAAAAAAGATGCCGAAAGGCCCAGAACACCCTGCAAACCGATTTCCCTAAAAACAAAATTTAAAATTTTCCGGGGGGGGGGGGGGCATGCCCCCGAACCCCCCTAGCAACTCCCGCCTGCCTCGGTTGGCCGTTTGGTCTGGCTACGGCACTGTACACCCTCAATGCTGTAGATAGCAACACCAATAATTCCCACCGTTAAAATGAATGAGTTGTGGTTCAGAGCCAAGAGTGTTTCAAATGCTGTACCCAGTGTGGCACCTACAGTGGTCAGACCCCTTCATTCTTGCATCACCATGCATGTTATAACATGCATTTTACAACTTTCACTGTATTCAAGCTGGAAAATTCGGTCAAGCACTGTAACCATTCCTGGCAATTCTAATAACATTAACAAAGGTTGTCTTGCAAGCAGTGACAGACTAGGATAAAATTCATTACCAACAATTACTATTTGACCAACAATTACTATTTGAATCATATCAACTGAAGTATTCCTTCTTATCTTACTGTAAATTAAAGTGCACAGACTCATTGCAATACATTGTTGTCCAGCATTTTCAAGAAATATATATACTACAACATTTGCTTGACAGTATGGAGAATGAATTGTTTTTGTAGCATCTACGTAAACTGAAGGGCCTGGATTCTTCTCGATATCAGTACAAGGCCAAAATTAACACGGTGATTCAAGTTAGGCCACAGATAGACCTTCCCTCGTTTACGAACTTCTTTCGGAGTTGCCCTTTAAGTAAAAACCGCACGACTGCTACAGTCACTTCTTTACCTGTTTAAGTCTAAACGATTTGTATTTTTGACGTAACAATGAATTTTAGACGAAAATGGTGTATTTTTCCGAATACCCGTCCATAGAAAAACTCTCCCATTCCGTGTTTCCTGTAACATAGGTTTTATTTTCTTCATCGGTCTAGTAGGTCCAGTCTGCGACGAGGTCTTTGACACTAGGTCAAACCTCTGCAGACATGTGATTTTATCGCTTGTTATTTTCGCCCTTTTTTCGGATAAGGACCGTTTAACTAGACTCACATCGAAGGAATAGAACATTACGGAATAATTACGAATATTGCAGCAATTTTCAAGGTTACGGACACGGACACTTGCCTTATTGTAA